ATGAATGTGTCCCGAAAACGGGCCACGCAGGAGATGCGTTGGACCAACACCGGGAGCAGATTAAGTAACAGCATGTGTTAACCCCACGGAGCTGAGTCGGCACATCCCACAGTAAATGCCACACAGGGGGTGAAGTGGCACGCGTAAGCGCAGGCACTCACCGCGCCAGTTACTTGCGTCTAATCCCAACATCGAATGGCTGACTGGTTCAGACCGCAGAATGGCGCATGAGAGAGGGGAAAGTGCGTTGAATTGACTTTGGAAACCCCATCCTCAAGGAAGTTCAGCGTGTTCCTCATTATAAAAAACCGACATGCTTGAATCTCTCAAGACATATCAAGAGTCGTGACTTGACTGTTAATTGTAAGGATAAGTCTGCCCCCCCGTACGGAGGGGTTAGGTTGCAACGGCTCCTTCTCTATAGCACTCCCACTCAGGTGGAGTCTCTGCCGTCCTCATTGTTTCTGCGAAAACCTGGTCCACGTCGTGTGCTGACCGCGTCGTGTGATTCGTCTTGTCAGCCACTGCGCCCAGCCCTGCTCTCGGTCGTCCTAACTCAGTCCTACCACCGGGTCGAGGGTGGTGAGGGAGAAGGGTGTGATAAATGCTGCGCAAATCCGCTATAAATATCAATTAATCCAAGCGCAAGTCATCGTCCTGGGTCATTACGTTGTGCGGCGCATGGTGGACGTCGTCGTTTGACGGTCAAATAGACATACCGTGGGCGTTCGTCATCGGTCGCGATTATTCTAGATTCGGCTGGTGAGAGACTAAGCTTTCCAGTCCGGGTTACCCAAAGAGACAAGTACCTGTAATGTATTTACAATTCAATAGTGGGTGTGTCAAATAAAGCACTGAAATGAGTTTGGGGCTGGTAGGTCAGGGCGTAAGACTGTATTGCTTCAAAATGAACTTATGGCATCGCAGAAATCACACCCAACCGGAGGAAGTGTTTTACGAAATTCAAGCCTTTTTAGGAAACATCGATATCGATGTATATACTAGATACTGCCTCTCGCAGACATTTGAATAAATGGACAACATCAATAAGATTGTATGCTTAGAAAAGTCCTTCAACCACCTTCCTTATGCCGTTTCTGGGCTCGCCTGAAAGGCATTGCCTATCAATCTAAATGTTCTATACTTATAATGGCATTTCACGGTTGTAATTTCGTCTGGAATTAGCGTACATAGCTTCGCGAGACCAAACATCCCGCTAAAACTCAAACTTCCAGACAATATAAAAGACATGCCTAGAAATCCGGAGACTCCTGGAATTACTATCGCACTGCTGGAATCTGTAAGGGTATGAAAACTACGCGAAGTGCTGGAGTACGAAAACGAGTAATTTCTTAATGTTAATACATTGATTTTTGATGGGTATTTGTGCCTAAAATATTCAAATCAAGAAAATTATTTTAAAAATAACAATGAGACAGTGTCCTTATTCGCATGCACAAAGAAATACATTAATTCCTGGCGATGAACCTACGCAATTTAATTACGAGTGACTAATTGCATCAACGCCTACATTTCAGACTGTTAAAACTGTTTCCGTCGTTCCCATTTTGGCTCCTGGGAAATCGAAGATGTATTAGGAAATAGATAGATCACTGATTATTTTAGATCCTTTATCGACAGTCTACATGACGGCGAAATCCCAAACGAAGCATCAGAGTTCTCAAACATAACACTGACTAGAAACTTTTTGGCGGTAAACGGCTCCGCACTTCGTCTCCTGGCACGGTTTTAATTTTGAAACCGAGTAAACACAGAAGTACTGTCGTAAAACTAGAGGCTTCAGAGTATCTTGGGAGGCTAGTTGTGTTTGAATTCCATTTACCGTTCAAGTTACAGGCCTCATTCGCCTCGTTATGTCATGGGGCTCAACGTCGAGCCCTCACAGGCACTTGCACAGAAGCTAGTAGTATATTCAAAAGGAGAATACCGACAAAAACAAGGGAGCCCAGGACGGTTTTTCCTGGACAATTAGCCATTTTCTCCCTGACTTACTAAGCTCCGGCTTTGTCGAACTGCGCCTCGCACATTCGTTCTTAAATCCTCGGGCTCTAGTATGTCCAATGGTCCACCATAAAATAACGAACCCATTATCTTCTCGGTTGTAACCGGGGACATTAACTGTTTTTGAAATGTATCAATTGATCGAACCACGGGATCTGCATGTACCATTGTACCTTGGGGGTCATTGTAGAATCCTCGCAGGTAGTGGCTTGCAGCTAGTCCAGAACTTTCCGTTCCGGTTTCCTTTGTCTGTGCTGGAAGCTATGCCTAACCTTCGAGTGCATAGAAAGTGGAAAAGCATTTAAACCGCTGGCCTGATCCTGGGCTTTGCTTCTTATTGCCTGTTTGGGGGTTTCTTACACCAGTGGACCGACCGTAAAATACTCGCCAGCCTTCCGCAATCTCTCCACTGCCTCTAATTTCTGGGTCTAAACGTACGCCTTCCTCGTTTACAAATATAATTTACTTAAGAATAGTCTTGTGCTCTAGTTTAGGCCACAACCTAACTCGTCATTGTTAAAATGAGACTGTATATGCATCACAACTCGGACTGTATTTAGTCTTTATTGTCATCTCCATTTGTAAACGCGCAACTTTAAGATTACAGATAAGATTCTTTTAGTATTTGACACTTGTTGTTGCATGTTTCAATTTTAATGTGGAAACCCTCCCTTAAGCTGCAGATTCGCCACGTGGTTTATAGGTCGTTAAATTCCCTATATCTTCCTCTGCAACTGTGTCGACACTAACTTAACTGGCGGTGTTCGCTGTGGACACCTTCGTCAATAATGATATATTATGACCTCAGCTACCGTACCTCACTTTGTGTTTAAATTCCTCCTCAGTGCAGTATTTCCTCGTTTAAAATACAACCTCAGAATACACATTCAATGTCAAAAGAAATATAACTCCGTCCAGCCCACATCTATCATCATCCTTGAGCGCAATTGTTCATCTAGGAACCTCACTCCCAGCATGCGTTTTTGTCGTCTTTGTATATTTGGGGTATTCAATACTATTTCACAAATTTTTTCTGTGATTTCTTATTGTATTTCCTTTCCCGCTGGGGGCGCCGTATTGGACGTAGACGCAGCACACATTCTCGCCGATTCCATCTACAGAACGCCTCTTTTCTAGCCACGGTTTGACATATTTTGACCGGATTAAGAGACTGTCCGAAGAAAAAAAGGTAGCCGAAAATGCTCACCCTACCGAAAAACGGTCTTTAAATGTCTCGAAACTTCTTTCCGGAACAGTAGTGACCGCAGAAATATACAGCGCCCCATCCTCCAAGACGCTTTGGAAATCATATAGCAGACGACAATTTGGCCGCTGATAGTTTCGGTGCTTCCTTATCCGAAAAACTCTAGTAAAAACTAACTTCTTCACTTTTGAACATCCAAGTATGGATGGGTGTCATTCCCAAAACCGTAATTTTTCCCTTCTAGAACGCGACTTTAGCGATTCGGAGTTTGCGTCAATCCTTTAGTCTTGGAGTTAATGGTGTCCTTGTCAGCATTTCAAAAGCGGGCGCAAATGAGACTTACCCATCCCTCAAAAGTTAACCCTCTCCCACTCGGTGGAAAGAATCACACATTCTGCCTATCCCCAAGCACGGCCAATTCTCTTCATTTGGTTACGTTCGGCCAGTTAACACTCTCTAACAGTTTAGAAAATCATATATATTTAAAAAGGTTAAGTTCTTTGGGAAACAGCAAAATTTTATTGTCAATTTTCGAGACTGGTTCCCTAGCTCGTCTTCAGACAACGGGTGTGCAAAAACAATTAACTTTTAGACTGAGTCTGGCAAAGGGATTCCATGATTGGTTAAGGTCGTCATCTCGGGAATGGGTGACTCAGTTTGAATCTGTCCTTAACGATTTTTCATGTAACATCTAAATCGATATGCCGGTTGATGCATTCCTCATCTGAGTGCATTGCCTCCAGGAATTCGCGGTCTTTCCTTGTTTGCCAGACGCCAACAGTGCGAGTGTTTTCCCATGCGAATTTATGCCCAGTGTCCAATGTGTGCATGCCCACCTGGGATAGATGGTCGCGTCTCTTCACCGCTAACTGATGCTCATGTATACGGGTTGAGACAGATTTCCCAGTTTGGCCACAATAAACGGCATCACAACTGCAGCATGGGATTCTGTAGACAACACCTTTTCTTTCGAGGTAGCCGACCCTGTCCTTAGGGTTTACAAGTTGTGCGCGTAAGGTAGTAGCCGGCTGGTGCGCTAAGTGTATCTGGTACCTATTCAATTGTTTTTCGTCGAGTTCAGATACATTTTTGACGTATCGGAGAATTCGTCATGTGGTTGGTTTTGGTGCCTGAGCGGCCGTAGCATTAGAAATACCTTTTCCTTTGAATTGCAGGTGCCTCATGCATTGACATATAAAGTCATACGGATACCCGCTGACAATAATATATATATATATATATTGATCAAAAATAAGATCTGTAGTTTAACGGAGAAACACCTACTAGGTGCGGCTTAACGTGGATTTATCAAAGCTCGATCTTAAGACACCTGCCAGCTCTATTTATTCCAAGCAAGGTACAGTGGTTTTGAGCTTTTCACTGTCTATTTCGATTTTACTGACGCTTTTGGTCGTTTTGACCAAGTTCTTCTTCTCAGGAAAATTTTCTCTTACCTTCTTAACAAAATGCTTAATTCTAATGAAAGGGTAACTATTCACGCAGCCTTCAGGATCGGAAAGAAGGTGAGCGAACAATCGGAAACTGTGCGGCCACGACCTCTGAAAATCGTTTTGGGCAGTAAAGAGGAGGCTAGCTTAGTTCAGTTCAGTTCCGTTCAGTTTATTGAGGGAAATAGGCGTAAGCCTTTGAGTACCCTATTCGCAACGTAAAAAATGTGTGGTGTACAGATAGATGTTTTGGGCTGAAATAGTTCGAACACGCCCATAATGGTGGGACAAAATGAGAAGGAGTTACAGGGAGTGAGCTCGACTTCTCATCGATCATGGTCATTTCGGAACATAAATATGTCCAGATTCTTCTTAAAACTTTGTATAGATGGTGACATCACAATATCAGTGGGAAGCTCATTCCATGGTTTGACCACCCGAACCGTGAAGGAGAACTTCCGCACATCCAGCCGTGCCTGCTGAATGCGCAGTTTTAACGGGTGACCTCGGAGGTTGGTCGTGGTAGCAAATTCAAAAAAGTCCTCGAAGGCCAGACTGCAATCCAACCCCTTTACAATGCGGAAGGCTTGCAAGAGATCCCCGCGAAGTTGCCTGTAACTCAAAGGAAAGAGGTTCAGATTTACTAGGCGGGTTGCATAAGGGAAGGAGCTTTGACCCCTAACCATCTTCGTGGCTCTCCTCTGGACTCTTTCGAGGCAGTTTTGATCCACAACAGCCCACGGCCTCCAAGCTTGTATACCGTACTCTAAATGCGGCCGGACGGATGTTCCGAATGTCTTAGAGAAAGCTTCTTCGTCAAAGTCCATAAACGCACGCTTGATGGCGTACAGTACGGACATTGCGCTTTTTGCCACCCTCGAACAGTGGGCGGATGGTTTTAGGGAACTCGTCGTATGCACACCGAGGTCCCTTTGGGCTTCGACCTCTTGTAGGGCTGCACCGCCCAGAAAGTAGCCTCTTGTGCTGGCGGATCTGGCTGTGTTGCCTAGGCGAAGTATGCTACATTTGGCAACGTTGAACCGCAGGAGCCAACGGTTTGACCACTCCTCCAACCGATTCAGGTTCCTCTGCAGTCTGTCTCCATCGGCAGGACCCCGAATTACACTCCATATCTTCATGTCATCCGCAAACATTGTTACTTCACAGTCTAAATCTCTTGCGGCATCGTCCACGTAGATAAGGAACAAAATGGGTCCCAGTACTGAACCCTGGGGGACACCACTATCGACCATAGCCGGATCTGATTTTCCCCGACCGACGCACACAACCTGGTGTCGACCCACAAGGAAGTGTTCGATCCATTTAAGGAAGTTGCCACCGATCCCTATTCTTTTCAGCTTATGTAAGAGCCTTTGGTGTGGCACAGTGTCGAAAGCCTTCTGGAAGTCGATGAAGGCTATGTGGACCGCGTGCCTGTCGTCGAGAGCTCGGGTCCAGCTCTGGAGAGATTGCAGCAGGTTTGTCGTGCAGGATCTTCCTTTTTCGGAACCCATGTTGGCATTTCGATAGCAGGCCGTGAACTTCCAGGAATTGAATCAGTTCAGTCTTTATGATCCTTTCCATCACTTTGCAGAGAATGCATGTCAAGCTTATGGGCCGGTAATTTGTCGTCGCTGCCCTGTTACCTCCTTTGTGTAGCGGAGTAATATGCGCCAGCTTCCAATCGACAGGAAGTGTTCCAGTGTCAAATGACGTTTGAAAGAGCATCGACAAAGGCACAGAGAGTTCACTGGCAAGTTCCTTCAGAAGCTTGGGTGGAATCTCGTCTGGTCCTGGCGACTTCGATTCGTTCAATGCCTCTAATTCTCTTCGGACAATGCCTTCTGAGAAGAGTATATCACTGACGCTTGGAGTCGGCAGTTCTTCTGTGGAGGGAGGAAGGAACCTTGCCTCGTTTGTGTAGACTGATTGGAAAAACTGTGAAAAATACGAAGCTTTATCTCTACTATCAGCAATCTCAACGCCATCAGAAGTCCTTATTAAGGGAATATGATGCCTGTTCCTTGTACTTCGTCCGAGGTAACTGTAGAGTAATTTTGGATTCTGCGTTGCTTTTTGTAGCAAGTTCTTCTCGAATTCCCGCCGCGTCTTTATGATCAGGTTCCTCAGTTTGTTCCTCTGTGTCTTGTAGGTGTTGAAGCATTCAGCTTGTCTAGTGGCGCAGTATTTTCTCCACAATTTGTGCTTCCTGTTGATTTCTTTCTTGAGGTTGCTATTTAGCCACCCAGGGCGTTTGTTTAGTCTTACACTAGTCAGTGGGCAGTGGTTGTTGATGAGCTGCAGAAGGACATTCTTGAACAGCTCCCAGTCATCGTTGGCACTTCCCGTAAACAATGAGCCCCAGTCAAGACCGGATAAGTCTGCCCTCATCTGATTGAAGTCGCCCCGCCAAACATTACGCCTTTTGTGGTCTGGAGTATGTGAAATGGAGAATAACGAATAATCCCACATAAGCACTACGTGGTCACTTCGGCCAAGGGGCGGCATGGAGGAGATCTCGTCTATGCTGTCTGGTGTTTTCGTAAAGACCAGATCCAGGCAGTTTGCCCTTTGTCCTTCACGTGTTCTCGTTGGGAAAATTACATGTTGTGTGAGGCACGCATTTAATGTTTTGCTCAACAGGCGGTAATCGAATGCCGATTTTGGACCTGACGCTTGGAGGGTATTCCAGTTTGTTCCGGGTGCGTTGAAGTCGCCCATGATCATGATGTTAGGTCGACTGGAAAATTTCTCCAAATGCTCCAATAGTTGAGTGTCGGCGATTCGATCTGTCCTAGGTGGTCGGTAGACAGTGAGGACATCGAGACACGGGGAACCGGTAGCCTTGATGGTCAACCAGATAGCTTCCGTACTGCACGCAAACTTGGTGGTGTTATCCGACACTGTCAGACCGTCATTCACATACACAACGATACCACCACCCTGACGATGTTCCCTGTACCTCCGATAAATTTGGTATCCAGGCAAGGCTACTTCGTTATCGCTAATATTCCCAGACAGCCAGGTCTCAGTTACTGCTAAAACATCTGGAGACTGCTCAACAAGGCAAAGTTTTAGTTCGTCTAGTTTCGATATGAGGCTTTGGGCATTCGTGTACAAGCACCTCAGTTTAGCACCAGCCGAATTTCCGGTTGCATTTATTACTGCTGTGAGCATTACTCCGTTATCGCGGACGTCGTGTTCTCTAGGCTCTTCCGTTACCTGATTGGTTCCATTTACACGCCTTGTTTCAGTCAGATCACTGGACGCTACGGGCTCACTTGTGTTGGCGCCTTGATCAGGTGGTTCAACGAAGGTGTCTGTTTTAGCTGAGTATCTGTCGTCGTTCGTAGTATTACAGGCTGGTTCCACTGAAACGGCATATATTTCCGAACTACCTTCCCCTTGAAGATAGCCAGATTGTGTTCGCCATCCCTCAGTCTTGATTTTAACTCCAAGACAAGTTCCCGGCGTTTCAACCGTTCCGCTGGTGAATAGTCCGGTTGAAAAAAACCTGTTTATGTGTGTTTCTGAGATCGGATTTTTTAGAGAGGATAAACTTGATTTGCTCTTTGTTCTCCAGCATAATTTTGAGAGGGCGAGGTGGTTGTGCTACTGTCCTGTCTTCACTCCTTTTTCCTATCCGGAATGCTTTCAGAACCTTTATTTCCATGTCTGCCGGCAGTAAATGATTTAGCAGACCATGAAAAGAAGCAAGGTCCTCTGAGACACGGTCTTCAGGTCTGACTGCATTCGATTCTGACAAACCCTGAATAACCAGACACTGCTGGCGAGCATGGGCCTCCTTACTCTGTCTTTCCGGTGAATGCGCTGCATGTGCGCGAGGACGATTTACGGAGTCATCGCTTGGACGCACACTTTTACTGTCTACCGACTGTCCCGAGCAACCCATCAGGGCTGGCTTGGACTTCAGTATCCTGTCATGGCGTTTCCCTCTCCCCTCTACCCTCTGGTTTATGTCTTCACATTCAGATACGTGCTCTGTAGTGCGCTCGGGGTGGTTGCCAGAACAAGAGGGCAAGAGTAGACTGGATGACCCAGGTAAATCGTCTCCAGGCAGAACAGAAATCCCATCACTTACAGCAAGAGGCTTAGGTGACATGGATTCCGCGATAGGTAATTTTTTTGCGACATCGCTTAAGACATCGTGCGTGGGAATCGAGTCTCCCTTTATCGGCGGCTTCATTTTCATTGTCCTGCTGTTACCGGCGTCTGCGGTTTTGGCTGTTGAGTTGCTACTCGTGTTTGAAGATTCCCCCGAGGAGATATTTTTTCGCGTTTTTTGCGTTTTGCTCTTCGTTTTTGGGATTCTAACACTGGACACGTTCTGGCCGACTAGGGTCTGTTTCACGAGCGTCCTTAAATCAGCAAGTCCCTTTTCCAGTTTTTCTACTTTGATTTGAATATCTGCGCACCCACTACAAGGCTCGTCTTCGTACCTCACACTTTTTGCGGTATTTACGCTTTTTGCACGCTTTGCTGGTCGTTGGCTGGAGGCGAAGGTAGAGCGAGCACACGTTCTGGATGCGAAGGACAACTCACCGGACTTATCTTCCAAAGAGGTGCCGTCGCTGGTCGTACTACTACAGTTAGCTTGCTGAGAATCCATAAACTTCGACGTGATGTAATAGGTATAATTTCGCTTCCGATGTAATAACGAATACGTCGGCTTATATATGATGAATTAAAGTGAGTATTCAAAACTCAATAAGCGAAAAAATACTTAAAATCCGATAAATTTTGTTGAATTTAATCAGAAGCGACTTAGCCCTTTCCAGATCTCGTGGGACTTGAATAACTGCAGACCTTGAAGGATTTTGAGCGATTGGTTTTCTAGGTTGTATATCCGCGAATCGGTTGCGTAGCCAGTTGCGTTGTCAGTTGGACCGTGCTGATGAACAAATTGCACTTAATCCAGGTTCCTGGCGAATTCCGATGCGTGAAAAAATATTCCAAAAATGCACAAAGTAATTCTGTACGTACGGTTCCAGTATCAATGTCAGAGACTGTAACTGTGGAATGGTAACCAAGTCGAAATTGTCCCAGTTGGAGCGCAGAATAATTCCGTCGTGCTCAGTTGGGCTGCCTCCGAAACTCTCATAAGGAAGTTTTTTCAACCGGACTATTCTCCAGCGGAACGTCTGAAACGCCGTTAATAAGTGACGGAGCTGAAGAGGAGACTTGCAGCATGAGAGAGCAACTTGGCTATTTTCAGGGGACGAGTGATACAGAGGAATGCGCAGTTGCTTTGGAACCAGCCATTCATCATGATGGCGGCAGCAACATAATACTGTCAAGCCCGAGACAACCCGGACGAAGTACTGTCGAATGTTGCAAACTTAAATTCTTTTAAACCAATGCTCAGAGTCTGTTTTCCAAGCTTGATGAACGGAGAATACAGGTAGCCGATACTCCTCCCGATGTTATAGCAATAACAGAAACGTGGCTGTCAGAGAACGTGGGTGATTGCGAAGTAGCACTAACAGGATACCAATTGTTTAGGAGAGACAGGAGAGGCTGCCGGGTGGAGGAGTTTCCATGTATGTAAAGAGCAACTTAACAGTGTGTGAGAGGGCGGACAAGATTTCTAACGACACAGAGGCAATTTGGTTGACTATAAAGGCACGGGGATCTCAGTCCCTCGAAGTCGTAACTATCTACCGGCCCCCTCAGGCGGATCCCGACTCAGACACTTGTCTACTGGAAAGCATAAAAGAGATCGCCAGTCGATCAGACGTTGTTCTCATGGGGGATTTTAATGCACCCTACATTCAGTGGAGCGATATGCATGCGAAATGCTCGAAGCATGCCTTCGATTACCGTCTACTAAAGACAACCCTAGCAGCTCTTCTCACGCAATGTGTCCTATCTCCAACTAGAGCACATGGAGGGCAACAGGCCAGTTGTCTGGACCTCGTTTTCACCAAAGATCCTGACAGTATAGACGAGATGTACTACCTATCCCCGCTCGGTCGAAGTGATCATACAGTACTTTTCTGGGAGTACGAGCTGTATTCTGAACCATATAAAAAGAGGATACGAGGCCGAATATATGGAAAGGGGACTTTTGCCAAATGAGAGCTGAGGCATCACAAATAGACTGGGATGTTCTCTTCTCCGGAAACGTTAACGAGGACTGGAACTTATTTAAGGGTTGGTTATTGCATCTAATGAAGAGCCACTGTCCCTTATCAAAGCCTAGGACATCCAACCGCTCTCAGTGGCTAACACGAGAACTAAAAAAGGAGATCAATAAGAAAGGAAGATTGTGGAAGAAGTTTCGGGAAAACAACAACATTGCAGCGTTCGCAGAATATAAAGTTCAAAGAAATAAGGTAAAAAGCCTGATTTATAGGAGGCAACGGGATTCCGAGAGTAATTTGCCTCATCGAGCCGTTGAAAATCCGAAATTGCTCTACAGCCATTTGCGGAAGAGCACGCTTAACAGAAATCCCATTCCGGTCATGAGGAATGATGACGTTTGGAGATATCG